CATGAAGAAGAACCCATAATTCTTTTCTTTTTAATAAAAAATTAAACACCCAAATACGCTCTAGTTCGTAGAAGATGCAAGAAGAGCCAGAGCCCAGAAGTCAACACCACCAAAAAGAAGAAAAAAAGAGACTCCTATTTTGAAGCAAGGCTTTTCTTTATTTGGTTTAGTATTTTGACCACTCTATTTAATTTCTTCACTCATGTTTCATCTGACGTCAAATTTAAGTGTAGAAATACTCAATTACTCCTCGCTACATATATATCAATGTTATAGTTCTTTTACACAAGCACCTAATTTCACGTGCCTCTAAAATGGTCTTTGTTTTGGAAGGTGAATTGAAAGTTGGCTTCATTACTACTGCCAATGTACTCGTCTCAAAGCAAATTACAAAGGGCGAAGTTTTTGTTTTTCCTAGAGGACTTGTCCATTTTCAGAAGAATAATGGCAAAGTTCCAGCAGCTGTTATTTCTGCTTTCAATAGCCAGTTTCCTGGGACTCAGTCAATAGCAGCCACTTTGTTTGCTGCTTCACCAACTGTGCCAGATGATATCTTGGCTCAGACATTCCAAATTAATACTGAGGATGTTCAGCAGATCAAGTCAAAGTTTGCACCTGCCAAGAAATTTTAGAATTTAGAATATATATAATAGTGGAGTAAGACATGGATTTTCATTGAGAAAGGTCGAAAAGGAACTATTATTAAAGTCGGGTACATCATCGGGGGTGTGGACCCTCTTCACAGATGGCGTTTCGAACATGAAAGGGTCCAGGCTAGGCATCATTTTGAAGCCTCCCACGGGTAATACAATAAGAGAAGCTATCAAAAGTTCCAAGTTAACTAACAATGAGGCCGAGTATGAGGCCATCATTGCAGGTCTCGAGCTAGCTAAAGGTTTGGGAGCAGAGGTCATCGAGGCAAAATGTGACTCCCTGCTTGTGGTAAACCAAGTCAACAGAACCTTTGAGATTCAAATGCATAGGTACTTGGACAAACTACAAGTGACTCTATATCGGTTTAAAGAATGGACCCTACAACATGTTCCTCGAGAACAAAACAACGAGGCCGATGCCCTTGTAAATTTGGGGTCATCGTTCGAAGACAACGAGATTAGCTCGGGGACTGTCGTACAACTTTCAAGGTCAATAATCTAAGAAGGCCACGCCGAAATCAACTCCACAAGTCTAACCTGGGATTGGAGGAACAAATATATTGAGTACCTAAAGAAAGGAAAGGTTCCATCGGATCCTAAGGAATCAAGGACTCTACGTACGAAGGACGTACGATTCACATTGGCCGAAGATGGAACACTATATAGAAGGATGTTTGATGGACCATTGGAAATATGTTTGGGACCACGAGGGCACATGCGGAAATCATTCCGGTGCCGAATCATTGGTTCACAAAGTCATCAGAGCAGGATACTATTGGGCCGATATAGAAAATGTTACAAAAGAGTTTGTTCGAAAGTGCGACAAATGTCAAAGGTATGCACCAATGATTCACCAACCTGGAGAGAAACTCCCTCTGTCTTATCCCCATGTCCATTCATAAAATGGGAAATGGATATCGTCGGCCCTCTACCATCGGCCCCAGGTAAAGCTAAATTTATTTTGTTTATGACTGACTATTTCTCTAAGTATGTTGAAGCACAAACTTTAGAGAAAATTAGAGAGAAAGAAGTCATAGACTTCATATGGAACCATATTATATGCCGATTCGGGATACCTGCCGAGATCGTATGCGACAATGGAAATCAATTTGTCGGAAGCAAAGTGACAAAGTTTCTCGAAGATCACAAAATAAAAAGGATCCTGTCGACGCCATATCATCCTAGTGGGAACAGACAGGCCGAATCGATAAATAAGACCATCATTCAAAATCTAAAGAAATGATTGAATGACGTTAAGGAATAATGGAGAGAAATATTGCCCGAAGTCCTTTGGGCGTATCGAACAACGTTCTCTTTAGTATATGGCACCAAAACTCTGATCTCGGTTGATGTCGGGGAACCTAGCATCAGGTTTCGATATACAACGGAAGAGTCAAATCACGAGGCTATGAATACAAGCCTCGAATTGCTAGATGAAACACCAAATCGAAAGGTACTACAATCGAAGATCTAATCATCAACACTTTAAAATCGGGGACTTGGTTCTGAGGAAGGTCACCCTAAATACGCGAGACCCAAACGAAGGAAAACTTAGCCTAAACTAGGAGGGACCGTATCAGGTCCTCGATATCATCGGAAAGGGATCCTACAAACTTGGCACGATGAACGACGAACAATTACCAAACAATTGGAATGTATCACTTCTCAAACGATATTACTGCTAAGGTACGACCTTATCCATTTTTGTTTATATTTTATACTAACCATTTGCAGGTACTTAATCGAAGACACCAAAGGATTCTCCAAACAAAAAGTCCTTAGGTCTGAAAGCACTCGTTGCACTCTTTTTCCCTTAGACCAGTTTTTGTCCCATATAGGTTTTTTCGGCGAGGTTTTTAACAAGGCAACTATTGTTCGTGCTAACTTAGAGCAATTCAACAGTATTTGAGGCTCCTTTACAATCAACCTCGAATACTGGGGGGCATCACCCTTGGATAGTTACAAGAAAAATACTTCGTGTCGGCAGGGTCTCGATAGGTAAAGGACCAAGTGGTCAAATGAACCGTGTCTAATCTATTAAAAGAAATATTTTTCCTTACCAGATGTTCCATGCCTTACAGAAATTTATACTTTACAATTTCATACTTATGATCTATTATGGAAACTGGCTTAAGGGCCGATCGCAACTAAAGTTTAAACAATTTACCCTATACTAGGGGACTGTCGTCCAATAAATCGACATGATCGAATTACTAAACCTCAAAATTGCAAGACCTTAAAAAGGAAATCCTTGATTTTATAGGTCACAGCCAACCCACTCGGGGAGTGACACTTCGAACGAGTTCGAAGTATAACAGGGAAACAAGCCTAAAGGGCAAATCCCAAACTAAAGGCTACAGCCAAATTAACACGGTTCGGAGACGTTCGAATTCCATTATAAAACAGGCCTTCAAATATTCTCATAAACCGATTAAAAAAGGCAACCCTCAGCTGAATTACTAAGGGTCTCAATAATATCGACCCTCGAAAAGCTCTAAAGGGTATCAAATTCTTCGAACTCCCGAACAATTTTGTGTTAAGGCATAACAAAGCAAAGGATTTTGATAACACCAATCCTCGAAAAACCTAATGGGTACAAATTTATCTCGTGCTAAGGCATGGAAAATTTTTATGATTAATTTTTCAAGCCGAAAAAGGGGAAAATCCATTCTTTTGAGGTCATATCGGCCTAATTCAAGAGCCTAAGGGCCATTTTATTTTTTGAGTTCGAGAAATCATCCTTACTCAACTAAAACCTAAGGGTCACTCTACTTCGTGTTCGAGCAAGTACTCACTCAATTTTAAAGACTACACATGTCCGACTTCGGTCTAGTTGCCTAAAGTCCCAAACTTGTGAGCAAAATCTCCATAAGGCATGAAGGCATGAATGAAATAGAATTTTCACGAGGCAAGAAATAGAATAAAGACAAGTCAAAAAACAAAAAGATCTTTTATATATACAAAAATATTTACAAGGATCGATCAGGGTCCTGCAAAAAAAGTTAAAAAAGAAAAAGCCTAAGATTCCTAATTTTCCTCAGGGGCATCTTCTTCTCCATCGAGGTACTCCCCATTCTCGGACCCGCTCTTGCTATCATCATCATTATTGGAAGAGGCCAACGCTCTAGCATCAGCTTCATGCTCTTTAGCCTTTATTATCTCGTCGGTAAGATTGAAACCTCGAGTATGGATCTCCTCGAGGGTTTCCCTCCGAGATTGGCATTTGGCAAGTTCAGCAATCCAATGTGCTCAAGTTTGAGCGGTCTCGGCTGCCTCTTTCACTTGGACTTGAGTGGCTTCAGCATCGGCCCGGTAGACGGCCAGTATCGCCTCTGCCTCGGCCTTTGCCTTTTCGCCTTCAGATTCGGCCTTTGTAAGTTCGGAAGCCAACCGAGCCTCAAGCTCCTCTATTTTCTTTGCCTGAGCTGAGCTCTTCTCCTTCATGCCTCGAAGCTGACTTTCGATCGATGGCAATTGGGCTCGAGCAACCTCTTTTTTAGTAGCAAAGCGATCCATACTTTCTTTCCACACCAAGGTCTCCGCCTTCATCATGTTTACCTCCTCGCGGAACTGCTCGATCCTCTCGACCTTCTGCTGTAACTGTGAGATTGAAATGTTAGCCACTGTTCTCGAATCGAGCCTATGAGCTTTTAAGATTTTCATTACCTGCTCGATCAAGTCGGTCTGATCTTGGTGAGCCTTGGCCAAGTCGGCTCGGAGGTCCTTGATCTCCTCTTCTTTTTGCCCACTGAGAAGTTTAAGGGCATTTCTCTCCTCAGTGAGCCCTCGAAGTTCGGCCTCACATCCACTCAGCTCTGCTCGGGACTTTGAAAATGCCTCCTGATGGAGTGCCAAAGCCTATACGGAAAAAAGAAAGGAAATTAGATAGGAAAAGAAGAAATAAACTAAGTATGATATCGACAAAGGGAGTTGAGACTCACCCGATTCAAGGCTTGTTGAGCCTCATCGAGGAGACTCGATGCTTCACTCATGTCAGTAGCATCCTCGACCCGGATAAAGTAACTACGGAAGGGGTCCTCCCCTCTATGGGCCCCGTCTACTTCGGGAGTCCTCGTAGCATGGGCCTCCCGAATTGCCTCCTCGGAAAATGCATGGAGAATCGGCGAGTCTCCAATATTTATTGCCCCAAGTGAGCCACTTGGGGCGTTCTGCTCGTTGCGAAGAGCCTCGAAGCTGGCCCCTTCAGACATACCCTCCTTTTACTCATCTCGGCGGGAGGCATCTTCGATCTTCGATGACTCGGGGACTTTGCACGAGTCCTTTTCCAAGACCCCCTCGGCTCGAGGTGGAATATCCTTAACCACCAACGACTCAGCGGCCTTTGGGGCCTCGATAGTTTTCTTCACTCGGGCCAACAGTTCTGAGCCATTGTCTTCATATTCTTCTTCTTCTGCCTCCCTTAGCCATTGAATCATATCAGCAGGTAGGGCAACAATGTCTTTCTTCGGCTTACGAACCAGATTCTTCTTAGTCTTTGGATCCTCAGAGGTTGAGGTCCTTTTCCTTTTCATATCCTTTGCCGGTTTCAGAACTGGGGTCGAAGTGTCCTCCTCACCATACAAGGCTTCATGACTGCATCCTTGCCCAGGCTTGTACACGAGAAAATTAAATAAGTAGAAGAATGGCATCTTAATCAAATCATAAAATACACAAAAAGTGGGCTTACCATGATTCTTGGCCTCCCATCGGCCCTTTGCTAAATTGCGTCATGAGTGTACGGCGTATTTAGAGGTCGAGGCTAGGTTCTGAACCCATCTCTAGAGGTCGGGAATTGCACGGGGCATCCAAGAGACCGTTACATCATGGAAAAAGACATCAATGAGAAAACACAAAGGAACAAATAGTACATGGAAGCTAACAGTGAGACGGTACTTATGATTCATGTTCAATTTCTCAAGAAATAACATCTTCTCGGCTGGGATTAGGTCGGATGTCCTCACTCAAACAAACCGGCCCAT